CTTTTGAATAAAAGTTCAAGAGAGGTGAGCTGCAGAGCGAGTGAGCAGTTCGAAATTGGTAAAGTTGTATAGAGAACTGGTGCAGAGAGACGAGGATCAGAGGTGAGACAAAGAAAGAAGACTAATCTGAGTGAGGGAAAGCAAGGCTTTCTCTTGCCGCTACAAGCTGTGCAAGAGATTCACCTCCTTAGGGGGGTGTGTATTGATGAAAACCAGCATCTTCAAAGTAAAGGTAGGCTATGGCCTTGAGACACCAGCCCAGGCTTAGTTTCACCCCTCGTTTGATTGTTGATTATTTATCCAGCAAAGTGCCCGCGGAGACTTTTCTTGCACACACCTTGTCTGTGAATATTCAATATTTCTATCAGGGCATAGGAAATGCTAGTTAGGGCTTTGTGGGATTTCACGAGTGCTGACATCATGTTTCTCAGCTTGTCTGACCTGCTTCTATTACTACTCCACTTTCAAACATGGTTGTAAACCTGTGGGTAGTACTGTTAGTGCATGAGGACTGGTTTGTTGTAAGCCTCGGTGCACTTTATTTCGCTTTCTAAAATCCCATAATAAGGATCCATTTTACTGTTTTTTGCACGTTTCCAACTCTACTTTTCCATCACGCTGGACATAAATATTCAAGCAAATATATATGAGACTGTCGAGCATGCAGCACAGGAAAGGTTGGATGGTTTCGGCTACTGCATCACAATTGGAGAATGTATTTGGTTATAGTCTAAATAGGATTTAGAGTACCATCTATGTGGGTGTACTGCACTGTTTTTGTATCTGTACCAAACACCCCAGCGTTTCACACATCCAAAGAACCACAGGATTACTTTGTTCAAAGTATGTGGGTGTCACAGAATATACAGAAATCACAGTGACAAAGTTTTGCCTCTCTTATCTCAAGCTGCAAAGTTTTGGGGTCCGATGCATTTCATCCCCCTGGACCTTCATTAGAGTTAGGCGTGTGGGTGTCGGGATACTGGGCCGTGGTGTGTGATTGATGGCAATTACATGGGAGTATTTTCCTCACATTGGGCCTGTGTTACACCTGAATTTAGCTTTTACTTTGCTGCGCTGCAAGGCAAGCAAAAGTCATAAAATAAATCTCCCGCGCTGGCTCTTCTCCCAATATAAAAATTACCAAGACAGGAGATAGCAAACATTGTATAGGGTTGTTTTAGGGTTTTAAGGAAGTCTTTTATGCAAACTTGGCCCTTACAACATTGCTCCATTCTTCACTGCCCAATAAAAACCGAGCCCGCAGGAGAGGGCCCCCTTTAAATCACTCTGATTTACCAATGACTAGTGTACGTGTGCGTGTGGGTGTATGTATGTGTATTTTTAGGACAGTGTGTGAAAGAGAGACTCTCCAGAGTGTTTGCGCGCACACAGGCTGTTCTGTCAGTGGCAAAGAGGCAGCCTGCTTGCCGCAGAGCGTGTACTTGAGAAAGGACACCTGAGTTTGTAAATCTATCCTGTTCACTTTCTCTGTGCGCTTTCCTGTCCACTCGACTTTTGGTCTCATTTTTCTTTATCTCTGTTTTCAATCACCTTCTCATTTCTTCCCTTTCCTTCCTTTTGTTTACTTTTTTGCTTGACCTTTCCCCCCCATGCATGTCCCTCCTGTACACTCACATACAGCCAACTTTTACCAGTTTGCTTTTATTTGAGTCATTGTCATTGATTATCTCTAAAGTATCTGTCCTTCTAATTTGGATAAGAAAAGTCTCTTTGATAGAGAGCATATGTCTCTACAACTAACTCTTGTACTGTGCCTGGTAATTATTTCCTTTAAAGTTGCCTGCCAATTTGTATCTTACTGTTCTCGCTTTACCTTCTGTTGTTTTCTCAAATGACTGAGGGTGGAATAACACTACAGATTTTTTTTTATAAGATTGGCGATTTAGCCCTAATTAAGTCGTCCCACATAAACCTGCAACACCACAGTAGAGATTCAACGCTGTTGCAATTCCCTCATGTTTTTCACAGCGCCCCGTGTAGAAAATTTGGCTGGAATGAAAATTCTCACTCTTAATTAGATCAAGGAATTCACAAGGAGTCTTGTACTATTTATCCACCCATTAAAGCCCATTAGAAAGCTGCGATCCACTCCCAAAGCTCTTTAAGTAAGTTGTATAGACAATGACAGCGTCTGACATTTTGTCTGAGCGTTGTTGTAGTTTTTTTTTCACCATTGGACATGAAAGCATATAGACGGAACCGTTAAAATGGAGATTGCTTGGCTTCAGTTCCAATTTTTGATTTCTGAACCCAGTGAGTCTGTCAGCTACTGCTTTTATGTTTCTGTATACTGTAGGTGGAGCATTACAAGCATTAGAGACAGGCCGCATGGACAGATTAAGAGTGTAACAGTCTTTTTGTAGTCAACATTTTTTATCAAGCTGTGACTCTTTCCCCAGAATTTAATTGAAAGTTGTTGAAAAAAATCAACTGAAACTGACAAAATCTATTGTTTGTTATTGGTTTGTACTGCTTTCATTTAATATAGTGATTTAATTCAATTCAGTTTGATTTATATAGCCCCAACTCACAACACTTGCCTCAAGATGCTTTGTATTTTAAGGTAAAGTGCCTTAAGATAATTGAGACAAAACCCCAAGAACCCACTATAAGCAATCATTTGGCAACAGTGGGAAGGAAAAACTCCTTTTTAAGAGGAAGAAACCTCCAGCAGAACCAAGCTCAGGAGAGTAGTCAGTACGAAAGACAAACTGTGATTGAAATGTGTGATTTAAGGCTTTTCACATTTTTACATGCTGTTTGTTTTCAAGCATCCCATCTATTCAGTGGCTGTGTCACATTTGTTATGTATATGCCAGTAAAATTAAATTATTATTAAAACCAAAAAAGGAAAGAAATTCACTTTACATTATCTTCAAGTTCCAGTGTTGAAAATCAGTAGCAAGAACAAACACGTTCAAAGAAAGGTCGACTTCAGTTTTGTTCAGTTTTCCCCCCTCAGGAATTTGTTTTCTTATCATATTTAACCCACATCATACTCTACACCCCCTCAGACTAAATTAGTGCCAAGCACAGTCACAACTAAATCCTCATAGAATACTTTGAAATTTAAAAAAGAAGCTAGATATAGCACCTTAGTAAGTAAGATATTAAAAATCTGGTGATGTTCAGTAGCTGGAGGCTTTCACATGCCATTTCACCAGCTGAAATTTCCAACAACATATTGTAATCAGGGCTATTTCATTTTTTTTGCTGTTATAAAAGGGCTACTTCATTAATTATGTCTCTCTAAATACTCATTAAATGTATGTACCATGTGCTAAAAGGTTTGGATTTTTTAAACTAATGACCCAACATGTGCTTTTAGTAAAGCCAGTGCCTTAATTTGTATTTGAGTTGACATCAGCACTACAATAATATGTTATTTTAGTGAAAATCACACACTTTTGCTTTATTGGATGTAAATTGACACCAATGGCACACTGTGGACACACAGTGGTCAAATGTGTGGGGAGTAAATTTGATTAAAATTGCTGCTCTGCTGGATCGTCGATGCATGTCAGTGCTGGAAAATAGGACAGTGGGACTGACCTGAAAGGCTTTGTGTTGACAGTGCTGGTGAGTGGCCTTTGGCATGTGTTACTTTTTGCCCCAGCGTGTGTAAGAATCATAATAGTACATTTAGATTACGATCATCTCCTAAATTTGATTAAGGACTTACATTTTAATTTGGCTGGAGTTTGCTAAGACACAGCTATAAACCTACACAGACTCCTCATTTCACAGTTTTTACTCATTCTTTCGTTCTATACTCTATAACCAACAGCGGCCTAATAAGCACAATTTGTAACACGGACCTCCATCTTCTCACTTTCTTAGAAATTACTCCACTTTCTCTCCACCTTAATTTTTTTAAATTTCATTTCAGGCCGTATTAGCTCATGAATGAAAACTGTTTCATTGAATTAGCGTTTCCATTGTTATACCGCATTTATTCGGTTAGCTATGTTCTGGCTAATTGCATTTCTACCTTTCACCCCAAATTCCTGTCGACAACCTCGGCGCAGTAATTACATTTCTTTTAGTGTTAATTTGCGTGTATGGTTGCGTGGAAATATGAGGAAAGCACATGCACGTCATGTTGCGCAGGCATACGTGCGCACGTGCACACGCTCATGCATATGCATGCCATACACAGGAAAAACACACACACACACACAACCATCGTGTTGGCAAATGTCAACTCTGCTTACTTTCTCCTGAGGTTCAGTGTCGGATGAGATTGCATTTCTATAGTGAACATTGCGCACTTAGTCCCAGTGTTATTTTAGTAATGTGTGTGTGAGAGAGAGAGTTTCAGAGAGAAAGAAGGGGGCAGTGATGAGATATGTTGCATAAGGGGCTGCAGTGGAGTGTGAAAGAAAACAGGTGGCTTCTGTTTCTGCCATCTAACTTTATGTGCCATCTTCCCCATTGAGCTTGTGTGTGTGTGTGTGTGTGTGTGTGTGTGTGTGTGTGTGTGTGTGTGTGTGTGTACGTGTGATATAGAAAGACAATGGCACCACATTGCTTCGTGAGTGGGGATTTGCACATACCTCGAGTGGATATCTCCATGCGTCCACACGTTACCGCGTCCTGTTTGTGTGCTAATGTGTGCGTGTCTCTCAGTGGTATTTGTGAGTCTGTTCTTCACTTTTTTTAGTGAGCAGGGTTCCGGTTCGTTTAGAAACAATTAGATGAAGCTGCAGGAACCCAAAGACATCATTCGCCAAATGTCACCCAATTAACAATCTATACTGAGCACACAGCAGCACTCTCCTTGTCTCGTGTTCCCTGACTCACTATTTGTCTCTGTCTGTCTGTGTTTTTACTCGCTGCTTCTCCTTTGCACTCGAGACATGCTCAGTAAATAATTTTTGGAAAATGGCAGATTCACATCACACGTTCCCTGACAGAGTAAATTATAAAGTCTGTTTAACTTCTGCTCTTTCCCTTTTTTTCTGCTTCTCTCTCAGATCAATCATCCAGGCCGGTGGTCAGGACTCGGCAACAGCAGCAGCACCAGTCTGGCCCCAAGGGACCGAAGGGTGGTACGGGGTGCACTCGTAGGGGACCTCTCTAACCAGCACTTCCCACAACACTATCCACCTCTGCATAGCCGGCCTCCTGCTTCTGAGCGGCACACTGCCAGGGAGGAGCGCCATCACCAGGGGGTCTTGGCGCAGTCGGTGGCCCGTAACCCTGTTCTATACCTGGCTCCAGGCTCCTCTAACCTGTCCTCTGCCACTTCTGCAGCATCGGCCCAAAGCTCGTCTACCACACCTGCCCAGCTCCAAGTTTCACACCTGGGCCTCAGTCAGAATCAATGCCCAGTGTCCAATTCGGTGGCCGGTACTCATTCTCCAGTTACATCACTGTCCTCCAAGCTACTGGAGGGGGTATCCTCTTCTTCTGCAGAGTCCTTAACTCCAGGAGGAGGAGGAGGAGCAAGTCTGCCAGGTGGAGGGAGGAGAGGAGGAGGAGCAGGAGGAGGAGATCACCATCCCCCCAGCCAGATCCCTCGTGCAGTCGGGGCCAGTGCTTCTTCAAGTCTCCACAGTCTTGTGAGCAGAGGGAGCCCCTCTGCTAGCATCTCTTCATCTGAGCAAGTCTCCCCTCCGCCTCCTACTCCTTCCTCCATCTCCTCTTCTTCCTCCTCATCCTCCACGTTTACCGGCCGTTTGGGACAACCACCTCGAGGCCCGCTGTCTCTGCATAGCTACAGTCGCAAAAATGTCTTCCTCCAACATTCCCTACATACTGCCGAACTGCAAGCTCTGACACAGAGAGACAGTTGAGAGCACACAGTCACACTATTCCACCTATAAGCAGCCATATCATCAACCTAAGTGACAACATAGTGGCTTAAAAGCAAAACTGCTGCTCCTTCAGTACGAGTTGTCCATGTTTCACTGCCTCAGTATCGCCCTGAATCACGAACCGTGCGCGCTTACAATCACATTTGTCTCTCTTTGCAATCCAGACGAGCCCTTTGCTGACATTTTGTTCATAAATTTGCTCTGATAAACAAACACTTAGCTACAAGTGCACACACACACACACACACGCGCACACACACACACATCTAGCTGTGAGTATGAAAAAGGCACTCACCCGTCTGTCAGACCTCCCACGTTGTGTCATGCTGACAGTTTAGATGTGCTTACGCCCACAGACACACAAAGTGCACACAAACTCACAACCTCAAATCCATGCACACATACGCAAATCTTGTCATGCACACATTAAAATACACACTCCTCACACAGAGACATCATCTGTGATATCTCCGCTTCACTATCTGCACACATAAGAGGGTGGTGAACGCGAACAGAGATGAGATGTGTGCATTGTTGAGATTGTATTTTTTATCCATTTATCTAACCTTTTTTTTTTTTTAAAAAGTGAAAACCATCTGCTGCTTAAGGAACTATGGGACTTGCCATGAATTGCGCTTCTAAGTATATATATATATATATATATATTCTCACATTGCCAAATCCTGCATCAGATCAAATCCTCATTGCGTGACGTCCACTTAAGGTCCAGATTAAGGAACATGTTTAGACGAACAGATGCGACCCTTTTACTGCATGCTTTCTAAGATTTATGAAGCGATACAGGTGAGCATTTTGTACCGCAACAAAACCGGGATTGGGGCGACTTTTTAAAGTCTTTTCATAACAATTTCTTGGTGTGGAGATTGATGTCGGTGTTTAAAGAAGTGAATCATAACCAATAAGAGCCCCGTTTGTATAGAAAGAAACGTCCCTCCTTCTGCTCACATAAATAATTAGATTTACTCTGTGCTTCAATCTGGACCACTGTTGTTTTTGTGCAAATACCATGCTGCGATATTACTTGCATTATATACAAGAATCAACATGTACCTACAATGTTAGATTAGTAGAGTGCAAAAGCTGAAATGAAGGGTTTCATTTAAAAACGAGATGCCTGCGACATGAACAATATGACACCTATATAAAGTTCGCAAAATCCCAGCGAGGTCTTCAAGCAGAGCACGGTTTTTCAATTTGGCACAAGCGATTTGATGCATTTCTTCAAATAATGAGAGGGAAGAAGGTGTCAGTTTTTGGAATGAAACCCTTCAAGTCTTCTTCAGGGCTGGGTATTAAACTTACTGGTGCTTTCTCAGTTTTTGGGGATTCAGGAAGAAAAACTACATCACTGATGGAATCAAACAGTCTGATTATTTTTTAGAGAAGCAGATAAGGAAACAAATGTGGTGTTGAAGTGTATATACTTGATCAAGTGAAGAAAGGAAAGAAACAAAAATCAGTTTTACAAACTCATTTGTCAGAAGCACGAGCACCGGGTTTTTCCTCTGATACGCAGCCCTTGTTAGATCTTCCTGATCTCAGTTCTGTTGCTTACACTTTAAAGAACTGACCTAATGAGATGGCATTTTTGGTATAACGGCAGTTTAGCTGTTTTGAACAATGCGACACACACATTTTGTTTTGAAATTGATATTAATTGAAACCTCCTTGACCTGCTGAGTCATACATTATTCACAGTTTGGGGACAAGACATGTAATTTTTAATAAGTGATGAAACTTTTTACAACTGCACTGCATAACGACCTGTTCCGTCTGCCGCTGGTGCATATATTTGCTCTGCCGGCAAGACTTATCAAACAGCCCTGCCACTCCCGACAGGTTTGGAGTACACAAATATTCTAATGTTAGCCGGGCGGTGGGAGCCTGCACATCTGCCGAGTGCAGACGGTTAGTTCACCGCTCCCAGCGTCTACAGATTTCAGAGAAGTTCTTGACCTTGTCTGTTCCTGTCCCAGCACCAGGCTGTAGGGTAGCTGTATAAATCATGTGTGTGTTGTAATGTACACCTCATGAGTCAAGGGGCTGGTAGAGGTGAAGAAAAGCCTAAAGGATGGCAGCTCTGCTCCCAGCCATGGAAGCTACAACTCTCCTTCCTGTCTGTTTTTTTTTCTTCTCCTTTTTTTTCCAACCTTCTACATATTTTCTTATTTTGTCATGTATGCAATCTGCTTATTCTCCTCCGTCCCTCTCGTGAAGCATGTGATCTGTAGCTGCTTTTATTTCTCTGTTCCTTTCATCCTCCTTGCCCCTCTGTCGCACCCCTGGTCTCTCCACTCTAGCTCGCTCCTCTAGCCCAGCTTGTATTGTCATACAGCGTGTCTGTTACAGACTCTGTTGCAGTGGCATTCAGTCCTGAGCTTTGGGACCCGCGGCGCTGCCGATTTTCATTCCAGTTTCCTAGTTGGGAAGTAATTTTACACATGGTAAATGCAATTAACTACCTGGTAGGATAGACAGGCGGCAGTAATATGGCTCCTGAGGACTCGGGACTGAAAAACCGCAGCTGTAATGCGATCTAAACACTCCCTGCTCGGTTTGTTTACAGGTGGAGGGGAACAATGTTTTGTCGCTGGCTGACCTCTTAAGAAATTCTATTTACATCCCTCATCTATGCATGCATCATAATTTAGCTGAGGGCATGTGAAACGTCTTAGGAGAGTGTTTAAAGCCGTTTCCACTGCCCACTCAGGTGTTATTTTTTTCCACACACAGCTGCGCTCATTTCCACTGTGTTTGAATTTAAAACTTGCCACAGAGGTACTCTGCTGTTTAATGTCATATGTCAATGCCTGAAAACACAAGACAGCAGTTGAAATGTGGCGTGGGCCTGTCTTATGTGAAGACATTTTACCTTTTCAGATTAAAAGAATAAACTGTTAGGAAACTAGAATCAGCAAAAGTGGTACCTCTAAATATCTTTTTCTTTTCACCTAGCAGCATGTTGTGGATTTAAGACACTACAAACATTTGTTGTGCAGTAATTTATTGTTTTGGGTATTTTTGCCTTATTTATCTGTTTATCACCATAGGAGCAGTTTAATAAGAAGTTTCTTGGCACTAATAAATAAAGATATTAGTGAAGATAATAACCACAACGGACATTACAGTAATAATAAAACTGTCCTTGTTAGAATTTTATTGAATTAAAGAGTTTTTATGCTGTCCTAGCTCTTCAATGTGCTTATTGTATTTAAATCCTGTTTTGTTTTTTTCTTTTTGAATGAATAATTGTACATAAATTAGTGATTTGTCACGAACAGTTTGTGTTCTCATATGATCACTATTGACAACAGGGGTCAAATGTGTTGTTTGCTGTCACACAGAAGATTAAAATATAACAAAAACTGTTTTTTTGTTTTTGGTTTTACATAAACGAGAGGTAATTAGAGGTTACTATTGGTTACACGCCAGAAAGCAAATGTGATAGTTTTAATAAGTGTGAAGGCCATTCTACTTTCTCTCTCCCTGCTTCAGCCTTTTGCTCCAGAAAGTGAACGATGATAATCTGTTAAAACTGCTTTTTCCTCTTCAGGTCCCCATGTATGTCTTAAGTGTACAAAACTCTCGGGTAGACACGTGCTGTGAACCCCTGACCAGTTAGTCCACCAATTTATTAGAAATAATCCACCCACACGGATGTGGAAGAAGAAAAAGAAACTCTTCAGAGTTTGCTTGATCCTTCTTTAAAGTTTAGAATTTAAATTTTATCTCTCTGACAAGGACTTCTTTTAAAGGACTAACTGGCGGTCGGTATGCTTTGCTGTATATGTTTACCCAAAGTATTTTTCTTTCCCCCCCACCCTCACATTTCTTTCTTCATATGAGAACTATTTTTTGTCCACTGTGTCCTTATTGTTAATATTTAATATAATTAAAATTGCCGAGTAAAAAGAAATGGTGGAATCTGTTACTGTTTTATGTTTTCATTCCATTTTCTATTACCAGTGGTGCAAAGTCAGTTGTATCTGAAGAAAGGCTGGGATGCACTTGAGCTGTGAGAATGAGTGATGGATTCTGCTTCCATTAAAAAGTGCATCTCAATAAAGCAATAAATCTCAGGGACCTAGGTTCCCTCTCTCAGACTGGGTAGACTGTGCTGCACAAATCTCTAAAGAAAAGAATGAATGAAATCAAAGAATGAAAGTAGAACATACAACAAAGCAATGAATAAAGAATCTTAGGGGCCATCGCTCGCCAAGATTGACTGAGGAAAAACTTTTCCAGCAACAACATTTGAGTGGACTTTTAAAGAGTTGTGCACGGCAGTGGGTGCAGACAGAAGTAATTCTACCTCATTTGACATCAGCCTCCAACCTATCTGAGTAAGTTTTCATTTGACAGTGACCGTAAAGTATGGAAGTGTTTAGAAAATCAATTACATTAGCACAAGTTTGTGTGTGTGTGTGGGTTTGTTTGTTTTTTATTTTGGGGGGGGGGATGTAGGCTTTTACTGTTTACCCCTTAGGGAGGACCTGTGCACGCTCCTCATTTCTGGACTCACTCAATTAGTGTTGGTAATGTTATGACTGGTTGAGAAGTACACACACACACACACACACACACACACACACACACACACACACACACACACACACACACACACACACACACACACACACAAGACAGCATTCTGATACTAACTTGCTGTAATTGATAGGACAGGAGGTCAGCACATCAGTAAACAGGCTACTGATTAACAGAGCTTTGAAGTCCAAAGAGCTCACATAATTGACAGGATGTGTATCTGTGCGGCTGCTGCTGCTGCTGAATCCTCCGGAGGCTGTGCAATAAGCCTTTCTGGTGTTTGATATTCAGTTCAAAAAATTTAGATGACTGATCTTACCGAAAAGCTGAAAATGAATCATCAGCTAATATTGACAACTGATAACCCCTTAAATATGTCTTGCTTGTTTTCTTAGCCATGTGCCAAAGCACATAAATCTAAGACACTTGTATCTGATTCGTTTAGCTTGTGTGTGTGTGTGTGTGTGTGTGTGTGTGTGTGTGTGTGTGTGTGTGTGTGTGTGTGTGTGTGTGTGTGTGCGGTTTGTAGTGGTCAGTGCCGTTTCCTGACAGCAAGAATGTTCATTCCTGTTGGCGGGCAGCCTTTCTGTGTGGACCTCTCTCTTAGACTGCGTGGGTTTCTTTTAGGTAATCCACTTTCCTCCCACGTATGCATTTCTGTGTGCGGAAATGGGCTGTAGGTATGCATGTGCGCATGAATGGCTGTCTGTCTCTCTGTGTTGGCTCTCTGATGGACTGGTGATCTGTCCAGGCTGCAAACTGTCTGACGCAACACTAGTTGGATTAAGCTATTAGGAAAATATGGATTATAGTTGCATCAGACTTATTAACATGATTAACATAAGATGTAAAAGTTAAACTATGGTTCCTGACATTCTTGTTGACTTCGCTTGAATTTTTCTGCAGTATTTCCACAAAAACATTAACGTATAACATGATAGATGGCTTATAAAGAGTAGTCTAATGTAACTGAACCTTAACCTCTGATAAATGTGTCTTTTTTAAACATTTAAATGACTTCCATTCCATCCTTCCATCCATTTTCTTCTATTTATCCAGTTCAGGGTCACGGGGTGGTTCGAGCCTATCCCAATCTATCACAGGGCAAAGGTTGTTCATGAATTCGTTTATTCATTCACTCACTCCATCCTCGCAACTCCACATACATGAAAGTCTCTAGACTGCTGACCCTTTTACAAAAAAGCTTCCTCCTGAAGTATATGTGGGATGTTTTGGACAGTGTCACCTGTACGATATCCAGAGTATAATTCAATTATATGGATTCACTTACCCTAAAACTGGCGATCACAAAAATGGCTATAAAGTAAACCAGGGTTTCTTCTGCTCATCGGTATCTTCTGACCAATCACAGCTCTACTGGCAACAAAGTGAATAATTTAATTGGAGCAAGAAGTCGCTTAGCGTCCCAGCGACCGGCATGAGTAACCGACAGAACAATTACATTCTTTTCCACTAGAGGGCGATACAACTTATTGTTGCAATTAAATGTATTGCTAACTGCCAGTAAAACAAGAAGACGAAGAAGAATTTATCCCATCATGCTGTGAGTGAGACAACGCAGCGCGAAATAATAAGTTTTTTTTGTAAGTAGTCAGTCTGACCTGGAGAAAATTTCGAGCCAGATGAAAGCCCAATCATGAGTAGTAGTCAGAGGAAAGCAAAAAAAATGTATATTGGGGACAAATCCAGCCAATTCCGCTCTTCCTGGTGCACAGGGGAAAATGATCAATATGATTTTAGTGACATTTTTGTTTGGTGGTGTGCCGTGTGATTTTTCTAATGTGAAATATGTGCCGCGGCTCCAAAAGGTTGGGAAACACTGGGTTAGAGTACCAATGAGGTGCCATCAGATAATCTTCACTGGTCTGAGGAATCTTCTAGGAATGGTGACGCTATTTTCTGGAGAATTTATTGGTGAGTAGGCTGTCACTTTTACCTGTTGATTGCTAATCTAAAATGTAACATATGGCAATATACTGCGTGTCTATACTTTTTTGTTCTCTGTTTATACTTTGAAATACGGAAAAGCCAGGATTAAACTTGACCTTACGTGGATAATATAAAATCCTGCTTCAAAGCACAGACTTACCAATCCAAAAAGACACATTAAATACCAACCAATAAATAATTATCTGATCTTACCTTACTGATCTTATGTTGTTTTGAAGCTAGTGGGGTTTTTTTGGGGTTTTTTCCCTTTTAAAGTTAAATACGCACCCACACCACGGTCTTACACAGACTTAGTGTTCATATTAATTAAGGTATTGATCTGTTCTGTGTTTTGTGTATGTCTCTGTTTAACTGGAGCAAACAACTGTGAGATGAGGTCTGTCTAAAATGCACTGGAAACTGTGAATTAAATCAAATACAGGATAATAATCTGTGCGAAAGCACACAGCAGCTGGTGAAACTATTAAATAAATAAATGACTGGCCTGCATTACATGCACTGTTGGCCTGCAGGTAACCAAGAATCTCCTTTTTCTTTACAATTATAATCCACTTAAAGCGAGGTGTGTGTACACGTTGTACTGTCTTTACTAGTTCTGGTAATTTTTAGTAGTTTTTCTTTTCGCACTGAAAACTTCTGTGCAGATGTATAGTCAATGTCACAGTTGTTGGAAAGACGCCATGGACCAAATACACATCCACAAATGCCATGTGATCAAAATTCCTCACACCTTATTGTAGGTAATGACCACTGAAGGGTGTGGACATACTTCAGACCAGGAGCATATGGTATTATACCCACACACAAGTCAGATACTCAGCCCAGCACTCACACCAAGAAGATTCTGGGTGATACTTCTGCTTCCTCCCATATGTCGAAGACTTTACATTATGTTAATCTTGATTCTAAATTGGTATTAGGTGTGAGTGTGAATGGTTTTCTATGTATTAGCCCTGCAACAGATTGCTGATCTGTCCAGGGTGTACCCCTGAACTCTGGGACAGGCTCCAGCCCCCCTTGTGATCCTGAATTGAACAAACAGTTAAGAGGAATGGAAAAGCAACAAGGATACACGCACAGGTGGCTAAACTAATCCTGCAGTTTTATTCACTGTTGCCTCCCACTTCACAAACCTGTGAGTCGCTGATCAGGACTCACGAAAACAACTTTCCAGGCCATCACACTTTATCCACCAGTCAAAACAAAAAGAAACTCAGAATATCAGCCCAACTTGTAAGAGACAAAAGACTTTAGAGGTTGCCAAGAACACAATGCACCCATGCTTTTATGAAATTAGGCCAGGAACAAACTGATCTGACTGACAGAACTGCTGGGAAGCCTGGAAAAATATAAAACTCCATTAGGCAATATTTTTTTTAAAAACAAACAAACAAAAAACCCACTGCAGACTTTTCCACCCAGCGGATATCCACCCAGGTATATTTAACTATTAACCCACATGACACAAATCAGTTAAAGTATGAGCATGTGTTAAAGATATAAAGCCTACTTTATAAACTTCAGGCAAAACTACATTTATTGTATTTAGCATTCCTTTAGGCTGCAATAATGCTGTGCACAATGTTAGACTAATGTTTGGCCAGGGTGTGTCTTTCATTTCACACATTCGAAAAATCTCTGGAGCTCCTTTTTTCATATGTGCCAAAATTAGGAACATAGTATCTAAAAGAAATTAAGTGATTGTGATATAGCTAATCCATACTCCTTATTATGTGATTCTCTTTCACCTCACCGCCAGCCTGGCTGACTCTCCCTGAGCCTGGTTCAGATGGAGGTCACTTTGTGTTAAAAGGAAGTTCGTTCTTCCTACTGCTCGCAATAGATCTGATGTGAGAAAGTCATCTAATAGGGAAATAAACTCTTGATCAGGGGTGTCAAACTTAAGGCCTGGAGGCCAAAATCAGCCCACCAAAGACTCTAATCTGGCCCACTGGACACAACTGAAAAATGTGAAGGATATAAATTTTAGACTTTTACCTGAATTCAAAGGTTTTACAGTTTTTCTTACTGATAAAGACTGATTTTGAACATTTATTTTTTTTGTAAATAAATAAATAAATATAATCTGTATGTGATCTAATATAGTCAGACTCTATGTAATACTTTTATTTGTGTGTAATTAATCTTACATCAGCGTGTCTTTTATATGGTTCTTTTCTTTTCTTTTTTTTTAACCTTCAACATATATATTCTAGTGTAAAGTGAACAAAATGAACAGACCTGTCAAGGACTGAGGTTTTATCTCCGACATCAGCAATGAAAGAAAAAACAAGAAAACGTCAGAAGATGCCTGCTGTTTTGTTCGCTTTGTAGTCATCACATGTCCATCATACATCATACAGTAGTAGCATGTGCTCAGGAGCAGCATTTGATGTTAACTAGTCAAGTCTT